TACATATTTGTACTTTGTTACACCAGTGGGTGGAGACTGAGAGGGCACATTCTTAATAAGGATCATGATTTCATGATTTTATGAACTATTCATTATCGGAAATGAAGGAAAAATCACTCATTGAAGGAAAGTAACAATGGCTCACTCATTGATGATCTGCAGGAATCCAGTACTGAATGATGACTCACTTATTGTCGAACTGGACGATGAATCAAGCATTGAACTAAAAGATAACTCGCCCATTCAATGATGACTCGCACACTGAACGATGACTCGTTCATTGAATGGAATGAACAAGTCAGCACAGTGACCGAGATTATTCGTTCACTTAAAATGTTCATTCGAAAACTAATCATTCACAAACGCAAGTGTATTGCACAGCCTGCTGTTCCTCGTGCTTGACAATTACATTTCCATAATGTTAATTCTTAGCCTGGTTCGAGGATAGGTTAATGGAAATAGACCCAAACCTTAGGTCACACTGCTATATTGAGATATAGGCCTATAATGATTTATATTTACAGTGCTCGCCGAATACCCGTCGCCTAACATGAAGGTTTGGCTTTAATAACGCCGAACGGCATTATTTTGGCCATCCAAGACAGCGCTATCCGAAACTCCACACTGCGGTTTCATAAAACGCATCCGCCGTCATAATACATATCTCATCTGAAGAGCGTTTGCCAGGAAACTTTTCTTTTTCCGTTTCAAAATTTAAGCGAGCAGTATTTCACGGCCCAGGCAGAAGTGTCACTTGTATCTGGGCGCATCCAGTATTATAACAGCAAGCGGCGGCTGCAGCAGCGCATCGGTGCAGCAGAGCATTGAATCGCCACCCCGCTGACAAAAGCTGGTTGCACGTAAAGAAGGAGCAAACGGGACGCTGCTTGCTGTTGCATGCTTAGACAGGACTCTCCGCCGTCCCACCCGAGTCATTTATCGTGATGACAGGTTTCTTCTTGGTTTAACACGCTGCCCCCCCTCCCCGCAGATGCAGGGGAGATAATAGGCAATCCCGAAGAAGGGACCACAGCGAGAAGCGCAAGTGGATGGAAAGAAATATACTGGCAACGAGAAGGTTACTGATCAGGATTTGGAAATGGTGTAGGTGTGGGTGTAATACGCCGAAATGCGCGATGGTCCCATTGGGATCCGCTCTCTGAGTTCCCATTCAGCTGCACACTTGTCGGAATGATTGTTTTTCAGGCGCTTCGGCGCATTTCCCCAAAATGAATATTTCATGTTGAACTTTTTAAGCAATAAGGAGTGCTTTCACACGAAAACTGTGTAGCAGGTGGTTTTACACCAAGCCTACCGAAAACAAAGTGTTGCGTCCAAATACTGCACGCGCGATCGCTTCGCATTTTCTCCCTTTTTCGTTTAGGTGCAGTATCGGAGATTGGCGGCTCGACCGCTTCACGACGCCGTCTTCTCTTTCCTGATCGTTATGCATTTATCTTCGGTGCATTACATCTCGAAGAGGTGCCAGACCACTGAACGCTCCGCATCGTTTTCATAGTGCAGCCCCGTTGCAGCGGAGGAGCGGGCGGTAAGTACGGCGATCCTCCGACCGCTCCAAGTGCGGCAGATGCTCCGCCCGGCTCCTGCGGCTCCGTCTGCCTGGCAGTAAAATAAAAGGACTAAGCTACACTGATCGGCAAAGGCTCAGAGGGAGCAACCAAAGTTGAAAAAGGACTGGCATCGCAAGCTTTTTTTAAAGCACCATCGCAAGCCGGACGTTTATTATGGGACCAGCAACCCCCTTTTTCGTGATATTACAATCCCGGGTTTCCTCCGGATTTCCAAAACGTGGGATTAAGTTGACTGGAAGTGGAGAAGGATATCCCGCCCCAAAGTAGCCTTGAAGACCTCTACACCTCATACGTGCAATTTCATCGTGAATCGTGATAAGAGATGCACCTGACAGTCCTCAGTTCCCATTAAGAAGTCATAAAGAAGATCCGTGCGGCAAGAATAACGGCGGTAAGCAAATTCTCACACGGAAATGCTACATACAGAAGCACGGGGACTCGCTAATGTGCCAATAATGATATTTCGATCCGCGTGTTTTGACGTCCTTTCCTTTGGAAACACGCCGCTGTCATTAACACAGTGAGTTGTTGGCTCGACGCAATGGGTGGACGGGTGTTTAGGTGAAGGCATGGGCATGCAATTAGCTTATTACCCCCTTCAAAAATAGGTAATGGAGTAGGGTGCAGTGTTTTCAACTGAATAGAGTCATTTTCGTCTGGCATCATGTGGACTTTCACATTCTGCGTTTCACATTCTGCTTAATGAATACCTGTGACCACAAGCCTTGATTTGATTTTGGAAAGTGAGGTACGAAGGAAGACAAACGTATTATAAGTAAACAAAGGTTTACACTGAATTGCCAAATAAAAACTAACCAAAATGGAATATTTAAAGAACCGTCCGGAAACTTAATACAATTGAAATATATAACTGTAATTAATTGTAATTAATTTATTTGCGTTTACATATTTTTCTCATTCTAATTGAGGTGTAATCGTAGTGCGCTAAATACAGCATCGTTAATTGACTGATCGTAATGCGCGTTAAGGTGATCCGCCTTATTGGCATTGAATAGGGCTTATTTAGGTTTTTTTTAATAGAAATAATGTATTTTTGTAAAACACGGCAAATACATGTATACTTAAAGGCTGTAATTCGCTGCTTTTGCTGTATACACGACCGCCTAAGCACTGCTGTACAGCTAAGGGTCCCCCTGTGTGAATGGCAGCCAGTGATGTACCGATTTTTGTGAGTTTGTACTTTTTTTACCCCCCCCGCCCCATCCCTTTCGCGCTCTATTTCATAAGGGAGAGAGGGAGGTAATTATGTAGCACCGAGTCTGCTTACACAACCCGAGCAACAGGGTGCGGGCATCAATGGGTGCCTTCGGAGTGCATGCTTTTGCTATTACGAAGCGTAAGGGGTAGTTTTCCGGAATAATGCACGACTCGAGCAGCGACCCATTCCTAATAACCCCCTTCAAGGATACTGTACACGCGTGCTGTTGTTGCGACCCTGTCATATATATATATATATATATATATATATATATATATATATATATATATATATATATATATATATATATATATATATATATATATAATATCGTTTCCAATGATCTGCATAAACCCATGATTTCTGAAACTCTACAACAGTGATCAAGTTCTAAAAAAATGCGTTTTGGGTGGATTTTATAAAGTATATTAATTGAAATGGATTTTAAAAGCTTTAGCGCCATTTTGATTGGTTATTATCTAAAGTGATTCTGATTTTGACACTAACATTACATCACCGCACAAGCTAAGCTGAATAAAACGTGGAGCCGCAGAAGAAGAAAAACGATAATAGTAAACGATGTTAGTACAGATCACCCAGAAAAAAATGTCTTGTTTTTTGCGATTGGTATGCAAAACAGTGCATTACAATCTGTGCAGTGAACGGTATTCCAGGAGACCAAATATATAATTAAAAAAAGGCTTGCATTGAGTTTCTCTTTCAGACAGCTGCACCAGCCTACCCTCGGCTACGGGTCTTGGCGATACGTGACACTGGAGGCAGAGAGATCAGTGAACCGGCTCCCGGCTCCATCGGAGCCCCGGAGCTCCATAGCAGAGCCTTTGCAACCTGTTAACTTGGCACGGAGGGGCAGTTTGTCTAACATCCAAGCGACGGCAACTGTTATCGCCAGTCTGTGCCGGTCGCAGGTGGCCCGTTTGGGTTCACACTTGATATTTTTGGTTTGAGGTTTTTTTGTTGTTGTTGTTTTTAATCCATCCGTTATAAATATAGTGACATGAATATTCTGTCTCCGCTGTGCTAAAAATGCAGCACGCTTGTTTATTTGTAGGGTAATGTCAGGCGAGGATCCATTATATCTGCTGGTGTACCTAGGGAGTGCTCACTGATCTTATATAACTTCAGTTCAAATGTATTTTCCCTCAACAGCCTTATTGATTAAGTGAATCTATGTTTTTGTTCGGATATGCCGGCGGCTTCCTAATGGCCCTCGGTGGCTGACGGCCAAACATGATGCTGACCTATGGAGAAGCCTCATTCCGGCCCTGGGGCAGGGGGGGGGGGGAGAGATTAGTGTATTAGAAATGTAAGGTCATGTTGTACTGCGTGCATGCCATCAAATTATCGCCCAGCACTCCCAAGTGTCTTGTTAGTGCAGGCAGCGCCTCCCCATGGTGACGGGCAGCACGAGCACAGCGCTGCCCCTGGAGATGGGTACTGAGCTGGTCTTACAAGTCACATGTTTTTGGGCTTCGGAAAGGAACTAGACAACCTGGAGGAAACGGGTGTGAACGAATGCACACACAGGTGGAGGCAAGGGGGGGTGGGGAGACTCGAACGCAGCCCTGGAGGTGAGAGGCAGCAGTAGGTCATCTGCCTGGCTGGCACCCTGTACTTCCTGTACCACCCCACCCCCCCATTTTTTTCATTGGCTCTGAGTCCTGTCAATCATAGTACACAGACGGCAGTTTCTTCAAATGGACGCTAGCAACTTGACCGTGACGCTAGAAGGTCCCAGAATTACATTAATATACATCAAGGACATAATTATTGTGTTATTTGAGAAAACATGGTGTTTTTTTATTGTGTGCAGTTAATAGAAAGGAATCAGTGATAGTCTTCATTTTCCCCTGTGGATGCTGAAGACTATGGTGTCACTACTGATTCCAGCTGACCTTGATGCCGGACTGGATCGGCGCTCATTCCCTGAATCATTCCAGCATATGTGGATAAGTAGATAAGACGGATTTATATTTATACTGAAGTACAAATGTATATGTGTTTATACAGACGTGGACAAATTTGTTGGTAACCTTCCACAAAACTGACAAAAGTTTATTGGCGTCCCTTATTGTTTATTCCATATCTAACAGAAATCAGACATTGCTTTTGATTATTGATTCAGTTGGATATTTTATATAATTAATCAAATGAAAATGGTATGGAAAAAAAAAAAAGATGGTAGCATTAATTTAATATTTTGTGGCAGTACCTTTTGCAGCAATCAGTGCCAACAAGAGATCTCTGTATTTCACAATGAGACGTCTGCATTTGCCAACAGGTAGTTTGACCCACTCTTCCTCTCTCAGGTTTGAAGGGTGGCGTAATTTTCAGAACCTTCCATAGATGTTCCATAGTATTAAGATTTGGGCTCATGGAGGGCCATTTAAGAATAGTCCAATGTTTTTTCTCAGCCATTCCTGAGTGCTTTTAGCTGTATGTTTTGGGTCATTATCCTGTTGGAAGACCCATGACCTGCGACTGAGGCTGAGCTTTCTGACACTGGGCAGTATGTTTCACTAAAGGATGCCTTGGTAGTCTTGAGACTTCACTGTGTCCTGCACAGATTCAAGGTTCCCCATGCAGGATACAGCAAAGCAACCCCAAAACAAATCCGAGCCCCCTCCATGTTTCACAGTAGGTATGATGTTCTTTTCTTTTAAAGCTTCACTTTTCCTTCTGTAAACATAGAACCGATGTGACTGGCCAAAAGGCTCCAGTTTGTTCTTATCAGTCCAAAGGACATTCTCCCAGAAACTTTGGGGCTTGTCAACATGCATTTTGGCGAATTCTACTCTGTTTTTTTTATGTTTTTCTGTCAATAGTTGAGCCCTCCTGGGTCTTCTTCCATGGAGCCCATTATTGTTCAAAATGTTTTGGATGGTGCGATCAGAGAGTGACGTACCTTGACCTTAGAGCTCAGCTTGAATGGTTTTGGATGGTTTCCTTGGCTCTTTTTCTACCATCCCCACTATACTTCTGATCAACCTGGGGTTGCATTTCCTCTTGTGTCCACGTCTTGGGAGGTTGGCCACAGTCCCATGAACCTCATACTTTTAAACAATATTGGCAACTGTGGTCACAGGAACATGAAGCTGCATGGAGATGGTCTTATAGCCTTTACCTTTAAAACTGTTATCTATAATCTTCTTTCTGAGCTCCTCAGACAGCTCTCTCCTTTGCCTTCTCTGGTCCATGTTCAGTGTGGTTCACACAATGATACCAAATAACATAGTGGCATGTTCTGTCCCTTTAAATAGGCTGAATGGCTGATGAAAAGCTTGAAGGCACCAGTGATACTAATTAAAGTTAAACACTGAGTTTTAAATATGACTATAATGCAAATAAATAGTCTCTTTAGGGGTACCAGCAAATCTGTCCATACTATTTTAGCATATCTTTGTAAAATAAACAACAAATCATTTATTTTCACAATTCTATTGGTTTACTCTATCACATACTAAAGACATGCTGGCATACATTAGACAATTGCTTGCACTCAGGTGAGGTGAAATGTTCATGTGCTTCTGTGTGTGTGTGTGTGTGTATGATACTGTACATACCCGTCCGCTTATAGGTGAGCTGGAAATTGCAGCAGTATATATTGCATGTGGGCTCAGCTGTAACACGCATGTGCGTCGCAGCTGTGCAGCTTGCTGTGGAGAACACACTTCTCTCCCCAGCGAATAAATAATGTAGAGTAAGGAAACACTCTGGTCTGCGTGTCATGCGCGCTAAGTGCAGGCCCCGCTAACTCTGAGGGCTCCGTGCATCTCCAGAGCTCTCTCAAGTGTTATTGCTCTTTTCCAACCCCCTTTTTTAGCATCTCCCATCCTCCCCGTCATTTTTTCTCCCCCCAGACTCCTCCTCCTGTGTTCTGTCCCCCCCCCGCCCCCGCTCAGTTCTCTTTTTTGTTTCTTTGCTCTCTGTCCCATCACATGGGCAAATCTCCCTGGTTAAGTTCAGTAGTTGAAAGCCCTGTACGGACTGTGCCATTTCAGCAGTCGTATAAGGTTGTTGCGGGCTACACTGTGCGACGTGGATCTGATGTACTCGGCTATGACAGTGCTTAAGTGAAATCGACGCAAGTCAGTATGCAAGAATTAAACATGATCAGCGTTGGTTCGGTTAGTAGACCTAGGCTGCAGCAG